TAACTTGTTCAAGACTTAAAGCCCGATATGAAAGAAAGAGCGCTGGCCTCATACTTAACATCGGCTAGTTGGTTAAATCAAAATTGTTTTCTCTATAGCTGATTTTAGTTTAGTTTAGGTTTAGTAAGGTTTTACGGCGCTCGCAATAACTGCATACGGTCATATGAGCGCCAAGGGGGTGGATGTCAAAAGAGAAGTCCAAACGGGGAATCTGCTCACCTCTCAACAACATCATGAAGTCTCCTTTGACTATCAAAGCAGTGCGGAAAAAGGAGTTCACTAGGGACTGACAAACATACAAAAGAAGTAGAGAAAAAACGACGATAGTAAGGATGAAGAAAGAAAAAGCAGCAGTTCCAACTTTGTTGTTCCGGTACAGTATGAGCAAACATTGATAAATCAGCCCATTAACAATTCCACAGTGAATAAGAACATGTTAATGTCCCCCCCCCCCTCTTTGGAAATGGCCTAAATACACCTTCAGTCAGTAGCACTACCCTGGGTTGTTGTTTTTTTTTGGGGGGGGGGATGATTTTAATAATCTTGTAGGTGTATAGACTACCTATAGATATGCAACTTGATGTAGTATGGTACAAGCCCGTTAGGAGATTTAAAACACAAGAGACAGAGCTTCTAAAGGATGTCTTTGTACATAGGTAACCAAAGTAAATCTTTCAGTATTAGGGTCGCTGGTTTCTACTTCTTTCTCTCTTTTTAACCTGGGCAGCATGGTTTTGGACAATTTGGAGTCGATGCAAAAGAATATATTAAAGAATTACGTAAAACTAACCTTGAAAGTACGAGCGATATTCTTAGTGTTTTAGTTGTATTTTCGTTGAGTTACTTTCTTATCCTTCTACTTTTCCGGAGCTGCTGCTCCTCATCAAATGTGTCTGTAAATTCATACAAGTTTGCGTGTACCGAGTCGAATGCTGAGAGAAATGACGATGGAAGCTTTTTGCATATTATTAATCCTTCCGAAGGCATGCCTGGAGAGATGCAGGATATCTTCCTGTCTCAAAAATGTAGTTAGAGAACGCATGGTTGGCAAAGTTTTCTAGCTCGAAATCATAAGGGTCAGTATATTCGGCCAAATTACGAAAGCAAAGAAGTCTTGTAATCCTTACTTTCCTTTTTTTTACGCCTCCGTTGACACAATCTAGATACTTTTGGCGGTGAGATTCAACACTGCCTTTCAGCAACCCAGGTAGAGAGGGATACAACGGCCTGGCAGAAAGACCAAGATACATTGAACTCGAAATCGGATCTGCTGTGTGCAATGGGGAAGCGCTCAACCGGCGACACCATAGATGCCGGCATCTTTTACTTCCTTCTTACACGTTTAAGAGTAACGAAACAGAACAAAAAACACAGGAGAACGCACGTGTATCAATAGCAGACCAGAGACAGGCAAGGTCAGTATGCTATTTGCCTACACTTATCACACGCATCAATGGGCCTGCGCACTGTCACAATTATAGTGACGCTAAGGCCCCTACCTCACTACGACAGTTCGTCCCTGGACTGACCCGTCTGGAGTTTGAAACATTTGAACTTAAGTGTAATGTACCGCATTATTGGACAGGAAATCCTTGTCGCATTGAGACCTGAGCAGTTGTGAATTGCTACAAAATCGGTGGGACAGGACTATCCAACTCCCGGGGTAGCATCGTCTATGATTAATGCAGCGTTATCACATACAGGAGTAATGAAGTCCAGCAGGTCGGGGCTACTCTGGATACATTTCGCCGAGCAATCGCCCCCCCCCCCTCAAAGTGATATTTCATGTTCGCCCTGTGAAATTATTTCACGGGAAGCTTGCCAAAATTTTCAAACATGCTGAAATTTTTCGCGAAGCGAAAAATGAGTCGCCGAGTCAATAACTCGCTCGGGGAAAACTTGGGGAGGACTCGGGGAGTGTCAAAAATAGCTCGGCGTGCAAAGTTGCGTACGTGGCCGAGTGACAGTGACACGCCGACGAGATCTGAATGGTAGCCGTGTTAAATTTAACTCTCTGCGGGTTATTATTGCTCGCTGTGTAAAAATCTTGCACGGGGAGTCTGAGTTACTCAGCACAGCGTGCAAAAGTTGACACGACGAGCTTCGCGCCCCTACCATGTAAACGCACAGCACACTGTCCTTGCCATTATCTACAAATCGACCATCTACAAACGTTACTCTGCCTCCGAAGAAGTCTACAGATACCAGTCTGCACACACCAAATCCTTCTTCATGTGTGTCAAGCCCTGTGCTGTCCAGCCTGCCTTCATGAGCTTTCTCGATATTTCTGCTGCTGCTGCACCCAGTCCTACTCTTGTTGCTTCTGAAGAAGAGCCCAGAATGTCTTCTACCCCAAGATCTGCATCTCCGGTGGTTCCTGTGACTGCCCCCAGAAGGTGTTTGCATTGTGGATGGTGGTGCTAATTTTCTCCTGTAGTTCTTGGAAAAACTCTGGAGAAACTCTGAGGAAGTTTCTGAAGGATGCCACAAAATGGATGTTGATCCAAATTAGATATAAAACTCTATTAGTGTAGTGTGAAGTAAACCATAATACCATATTATTATATACAAGACTAATGTTAAGAGAGAATTATTTTTCTTCTCCCTACGATGTTCAAATCTGTCATTATTAGTACAAACGATAGAGGGAGAGACAAAGACTGACAAGCAGGGAGAGAGAGAGAGAGAGAGAGAGAGAGAGAGAGAGAGAGAGAGAGAGAGAGAAAGAAAGAGAGAGAGAGAGAGAGAGAGAGAGAGAGAGAGAGAGACAGACAGACAGACAGACAGACAGATAGACAGACAGACAGACAGACAGACAGACAGACAGACAGACAGACAGACAGATTTCCGATATTCTGGATTTTATAAGGGGAGGTAAGAATATCAGAATAACAAGGGAAGTAACTTTTATTATTTCCAAAAAAGTAATTATCCAAGAGTGTTATACTCGTATATTTACTAATATCATATTTATCAATTACATATTGTTTTAAAGTTTAATCTTCTTTGATTTATATAGTTGATCATTTAGTATATGTAGTGATAGAGTTATTGTAAACAAAAATTCAAAAAGCAAGTGGGTTTTTTATTGTTTGATAAAGTGACTATCAAATTTCAAAACATTGTAACTATTTCAATTGGTCTTTCATGAACATTTCATTTATTCAGGCTGATATAGGCTTGGGGAGCCGTGTCTTGCTCAAGGTCACACCCCAGTGACCACCCATATAAACCCCGTGTCACCGACACTTGCTTGGCATTATTATTGAGTCTGAGCTCGCTACTCACTTGGCCAATGTCATGTCTTGTGCTCTAGTATCTTTCTCTTTTTCGCCAACTTATCACCATTCCTTACAGCTATGTCCACCCGTTTCATTAATTCTTTTTATTCTTCTCATTCCTTCCTTCCTTTTCCTTCCTCCCTCCCTCCCTCCCTCCCTTCCTTCCTTCCTTCCTTCCTTCCTTCCTTCCTTCCTTCCTTCCTTCCTTCCTTCTTTCCTTCCTTCCTTCATTTTTTCACGCTTTCACTCAATCAAATCAACCAACCTTCATTGTATCTCCTTTCGTTTTTTTTATTGACTGATTTAATTGACTGACAGACTGATTGATTGACTAATTGATTTATTGATTGACTGACTGACTGACTGATTGATTGATTTATTATTTGATTTTCCATCCAGCAACCGGCAAAAACTGTTCTCCTGCCTGAGTCCCCTGACAGCCACGTGTCCTGGCCTGTTAGAGAGACTGTACACTATAGGGGTGGACCTAGAGGCGATGGAAGCGGCGACTGGACTGTTGTGCAAGGATAAAGCAAGTAGGTCATTACCCGTGCACTATTTGCAGGCTTTTGGGGTTCTTGCAGTGTGTGTGTGGTTTTTTTTTCGGGGTGAGGGGGGTGGGGGGGGGGGAAGAAAAGAACTAAACGGACAAGTTTGATGGTGCAACGGGAGAGGGCAGCTTTTCAGTCATTATATCGTTAAGTTGCATTTTGCCCCTTCCACAATGTCCAGAGAAAGCATTTACAAAAAGTTATTTGTCACCATTTCCTCTGACAAAGAAAACAATAAAATATAGTTGTGCCATCTTCACGTTTACAACACCATTTGATTGTCTGTTAGACAAAGGTTTTAAAATCAGAAAAAAGATACAAACACGCACACACACAAACACACACACACACACACACACACACACACACACACACACACACACACACACACACACACACATACACTCACACACACACCACACCACAGACAGCACTCGCACACATACATAAACGCTCACATGCACAATACCTCTCAAATATTATTACCTCTCTTCTTACTTTCTCGGTTGCTTCCCCTTGTAGAGTTTTTTGAAGGCCTGAATTGCTTCACGACCCCAACGTCGAGTGTGACTCAGTGCCGGCAGTCCACGGAGACCAACATGAGGGAGGTACTAGTGGGCCGCTACCAGACAGGAGCTGTGCCACCCTCCAAATACATGGACAAACTCTGCGAGTGAGTTTGTCACAATTTGCTACAACCTCTTCAACCCTGTGAGAGTTATGGAAGAGAGGAAGAGAGAGAGAGAGAGAGAAAAAAAAGAAAGAAAGAGAGAGAGAGAGAGAGAGAGAGAGAGAGAGAGATACTAAGACTGTATTTAACTCAGAGCATTTTATTTTTGTACTGTTACTATGTTATTTGGTTTTTCACAGCCGACCTGGATCACTGGTGGGCTTAAAATCGATCAACCTACCCAACCACCCACCTACCCACCTACCCACCCACCCACCTACCCACCTACCCACCTACCTACCTACCTACCTACCTACCTACCTACCTACCTACCAAGCCATCTATCTATCTATCTATCTATCTATCTATCTATCTATCTATCTATCTATCTATACCACTCATCCAAGGCAGCCCCGTCAGGGTGAAAACAAGTTTTCTCGTGAATGATCTAAATTGTGCAGTAGGGGGCGTCAGATATCTGATAAGTGTCCATCTGCCTCTCTGTTTCCAAGTACTCAAACTATCTTTTTAAAAATCTTCCATCTCCCCCCCCCCTCCTATGTGAAAGGTCAAAACTGACCCAAGTAGACTGTGAGCTGCAGGCCTTTGCCCAGTCTTGTGACCCTGACATCTCCGAACTAAGGACCTCTGTGGAGTGCGCCATCTTACCCAGGCCCTGCAAGGACGCACCGGCCTTTAAACAGGTTTATAACGGTCTTTGCAAGAAGGTGAGAATAGATAGATAGATAAATAGATAGATAGATAGATAGATAGATAGATAGATAGATAGATAGATAGATAGATAGATAGTGTATGGAGAGAGAAGAGAAAGAAGAGAGACAGACGGAGAGAGAGAAGTGAGAGAAGAGAAAGACAGAGAGAGAGAGAGAGAGAGAGAGAGAGAGAGAGAGAGAGAGAGAAATCTGGTCGACGGTTTGAGCGCCACGGATGACTTTCCACTAATTTCATTCCACTTCTGTCATAGCCCCATACATGTTTCAGACGTGTCCGCTCTGAGATATTATCCACCCATCTTTTCTTCTGCTTTCCTCTGCCTTCCTCTGCCTCTACCTCCTTGTGACGTGTCTTGCAGGACAGTATTTGCCAGTCCACGTGATCTTTTGACATGTCCCGACCTGATCAAATTATCATCATAAAGTGTCATTGGTAATTATTATGGTTCCCCATCCCTCTCTTTCATTCGTGGCCCCCATGTATGAGTTGTGCATTGTGTTCCGGCTATATAATAGTCTTGTACGTTGGAGTCTTTGGCAACCTGTTTTCACTTCGATTTTTCTTGTCAAACTTAGTTGTTCCAGCCCTCTTTTTCTCTATACATGCCCCATGAATGCCATCTACTACTTTCTTATAGTCTCGATAGTTGCTTTTTGCAATTTCCAGCGCTTCTTGGTTTGTCTTCTTTTTTTGTCCATTTTTTAAAGCATTCTCCTTTTGAAACACCTCTTGCTCTAGTTTTCTTTTGATATTGATTTCAAAAGTACGGCCCTCACACCCATATAAAAGAACTGAACACGATAAATAATAGTCTGCATACCCTGTTTCAACTATTGACCATGGTAAATGACTTATTTCCAAAAAAATAAATAAATCAAGTACAGAAATATATGAATTCATTCATATCAACTGCAATGAAGTTATAGAACGGACATTGCTACACTTTAATGAAACACAGAGAGAGAGAGAGAGAGAGAGAGAGAGAGAGAGAGAGAGAGAGAGAGAGAGAGAGAGAGAGAGAGAGAGAGAGAGAGAGAGAATAGCGAAAGATAGAGAAGGAAATAGATAGTGCGCGCGCGCGCGCGTGTGTGTGTGTGATTGTGTGTGTGTGTGTGTGTGTGTGTGTGTGATTGTGTGTGTGTGTGTGGGTGGGTGGGTGTGTGTGTGTGTGTGTGTGGGTGGGTCTGAGAGAGAGAGAGGGGGGATGGGGGAAGAGAGAGAGAGAGAGAAAGAGAGAGAGTGAGAGAGACAGAGAGAGGCAGACAGACAAAGAGACAAACAGATAGACAGATAGACGGACAGACAGACAGAAAGACAAACAGACAGACAGGCAGACTGACAGACAGACAGAGAGAGAATATTTATGGAGGGTAAGTGTTATTTCTTTTCTTGTTGCATGTAGGCTTGAGTGTACATGAACTTTATAATATCACGCCAACATAAACGACCAAGGAAAATTACCTCCCTGCGAAATAAATAACGATTTTTATTGTCTTTGTCATTGATCTTGTCATTGTCATTGTCCTTGTGATTGTTAATGTCGAAATCAAGCCTTTTTTCGCTGTTCTTTACAGGTTACCACGCCCACCCCCGTGACCAACAGACCCACGGTACCCTCTGGCGGACCAGGCAAAGTCCCGGGAACGAGCGACGACAACGGCAGTAACCGTGATGATGACGACGACGATGATGACAGCTCTGCATGTGCTGTGGCAATGTCCATGTCAGTAGTGATTGTCTCTGTCGTCCTGAACGTCCTCTGGTGATTGTCAGGTTGACTTACGAACTGGGAACAACAAAAACAATGTCAAGAGCATCATCATCATCATCATCACCATCATCATCATCATCATCATAATCATCATCATCATTATCATCATCATCATTATCACCATCATAATCATCATTATCGTCATCTGTGTTTGGAAAGCAGAGTAGGAGGGAGAGTATTGTTTGAATTTCAGACAAAATAACATAACAATATAACATTTTAAAAATGTGTTTAATAGACACATCTCAACGTTTCGCCTCTTGGGTTTCCTCAGAAGCAACTGAGAGAAAAAATGAATGAGCGCTGTATACTAGCAGGGAAATGTGCCTAACAAAGAGGGTCTTAAGGTTACGTGTGGTTACAGGCTAGACGGAAGTGACTCAGAGCGAGCCAGGCCAAGGGGGCTAATTATAAAGAAATTGATAATAGTCTAGCAAGAGTATCATCATCATCATCATCATCATCATCATCATCATCATCATCATCACCACCACCACCACCACCACCACCACCACCAACAACAACAACAACAGCAGCAGCAACAACAACAACAACAGCATCAACAACAACACCAACAACACCACCACCAACACCACCATCAACACCACCTCCACCACCAACAAAAACAATAATAACAATACCACCACTACAACCGACAACAACAAAACCAACAACACATTTCTAGAGGAGGTGGCTCTGGCAAAAATTCACTTCTTGTGGATCGCAGATAGGAGCAAGAGATAAATTATAATTATTACTGCCTTCGTTGCTCCCTAATCCATTGATCACACACTCCAGAACAACAGCATCATCATCTACAATAGCAACAACAACAACAACAAAAAAGAAGAAAAACAACGAAAACAACAACAAAAACAACCATATTACCAGAAGAAACAAGTGACCAAAAGTAGAGATCTCTGCCTCTTCTGCCTTTCTTGATATTATCTCTTGCTGGCAGTTAGAATAATTGTATCGTAGGTCTGGCATTGAAAGGGTTCCAGTACCAAAAGAGGGTCCATTATAATATTATTACCAAATATTTCCCCAAAGCCAGAAAGGCGAAATTGAAATTGTAAAACAGCCAACATTTCTTCTCAAGGTTTTGATTTAACTTTGCACAAGTCTCGAAAGAGTGAACACATTCTCTGTTGTACGACATACGACTTTGCTACTTAAAATTTTCGTCAAGTACAATGTTTCAAAGTGACTTACTACAATAATGACGCAATTGAACCCTGTTGTAAGTTGACATACGACAATGAATCTTGACGAAATATTTTTGAATAAAGAAGACCAGTTATCAATGCACTGTAACATACTACAGTAGTCTGCAACACCAATTACATGTAATAGCAATATGTTAGCCAAACTTAGTACCAATGTGCTGTATTTTCAAGGCGCGAATGGAATAATAATATTATAAATCGTGTGAGACTGTTAAACAAACATGCCAATGAAGATGTCTCTCAGACATTCTTTATAATTCTTCAGAAGCTCAAAATTTTGGAACTTGTGTGAAAATGGTATGGATTTAACGCCCCTATCAACACTATTGGGTTATTTAAGGTGCGGGACCTCCTAGTTTAACGTCCATCTCTGATAGGACTGATCCAAGTGGGAAGTTCGTGTAAAGTGCCTTTCCCAAGGACACAATGTCGGACCGAGCTGAGGCTCGAACCCCCGAACTCGCAATTTCACGATTACGAGTCCGGTAGCCTAACCACTAGGCTGCTGGAACTTGTGTGGCTTAATAATAATAATAATAATAATAATAATAAATTACACTTTTATTTGTCCCAGAAGGGCACTTTGTTTTACAATGGCAAACATACATACATAAATACATAATTATAAATACGTACATACATAAATACATACATGCATAAATGCATACATAAATACACTCTACTACACAAATACAGAACAGTTTACAAACAATGCCACTGTCGGTCGCCACTGTGCAGCGCCCTGTAATTTGAGCTAGGGTTGTCGTGTCTTGCTCAAGGACACACTCCAGTGATCACCCATCTGATCCCCGTGTCACCGACACTTGCTTGACATTGCTTGAGTCAAAACTCACTACTCACTTAGCCACTGGAGCCCCCAACTTCACAACTAATCAGTAATAACTATTACAATATCCACCCATTGCACCCTAAACGTACAATTACTCTGTTACTAGCTTTGGGTGTATAGTAATAGAGAATCATGTCAACGAACCTCTCTTTTCAAATCATTTTTCAAGCAAATGAATAAAGGAAGAACATAGGGGTGACTGTGGTGTAATGGTTAGGTGCTTCGCCTTCCACGCAGAAGACACGAGTTCAATTCCTGATGCAGACGAGCTTCTTCGTCTTTCTGATGGGATTCGTCCCGCTCAGCCTACATTGGCCCTGACAGGCAGGGTCGGAGTCGCCCTTCTCTAAATGGCCTTAAGTGTTAAAAAGGGACGTTAAACTAAAAACCAAAAACCAAAAGGACGAACATAAGAAAACCATCAGAGTTTGAACAAGTTTCTTTCAATTACAACAAAATTTGACATTCGCCTAGATGACTAGGTGCGCATATTTTGACTAAATGACCAAATAAGACACTTATTAATTTAATATTAACTGGAGAAGCTACTATTTTCATGTCTTATGTTTAACAACTCAACAACCACCTGAAGACCAGATGCACACATTTTGATTAAATGACTAAATAAGACCATGATTAGATATAATGCATTGTGTACTGGCTTTAAACGTTCAGTTTCACAATTCAAGAGGCACCTACATGACAATATGAGACATTGATTAGACATATCCTGTTTTAGAAATAACCATTTTCATGTCTTAAGTTTTTAAAATTGATTATAAAGAGAAAAATGATAAAATGGTACATTCATCTGTATCCCAACAATATATGACTAGTTCATACATGTATGAGTATTTTCTCTGGATCCAAGAAGCTCCAATGTACAAAGTAACGGCAGCAATATGTACTCAAAGTCAAAGTTTAAGAATGATATGGCAATGTGAGATCAATGTCTAATCATATCAAGAAAAGCACAAATGAATTTAAAATCTCCAAACACAATATCAAGCTTCAAATACGCTATGAAGGAGACTTGTATGCTCATAATGTTGATTGTAAAAATATTCAAGAGGTGCAAAGATTAACCGGAACGCTCAACGAAGACAATGCAGGATGCAGTAGTTTTAATTTCTCTGACAAGCCTGACAACATTCTGCCGTAACTTTTCAGTTGGACTGGTGCTCTGAATCTGTAGGATAAGCGACCTCTCCTACGGTTAAACTCTTGTAGAAAGCATGGTGCGCTGTGGGTATGATTTGTTTGTCACACATCGCACGCAGATCTTTGATCTTTCTGAAATCAATTCCCAATGGGGCTGAAAATGCTGGTTTTGGACTCAGGGAAGGATTCATGTCAGCAGACCTTCTGCATCCCCGAAACAGGTTCATTTCCACTGGTCGTGCATTCATGGAATACTTCATAGTGACAATGGGGACAACTTTGCGAACCGAATACTTGCAGATTTGCAGGAACTTGGCATTTTCACGATCAGCGGTCTTGCTCATGTTGATGAACTCCTTGGTTATGCTCTAGAAATCCCAAAAGTCCTCCATCACTATCTCTGTCACTTTATAATGTGGTACGTTTCTTTTAACCCCTTGAATGACTGTAGCCCACTCTTGAATTGTGTACACATTGACATGCTTGCTAGCCGCCTCAATCCTGGCATGAATTGAGTCTCTTTCATTTTCAGAGTGACCTCTTACAAAGAAGACCTGGTGGACCTTCTCAAAATCAAAATTTTAGTGTTGTGCAGTCCAACACACCATCGCCATGAACGGCCGATTTCTGATCTGTTCATCAGCAGAATCTGACTGCAACTTTACCTTTTTAATGGATCCTGACCTATTTAGTCATTCCAGACACTTTATGATAACTTTATCTTGCACGAGGCACTGTCACTAGCGCCAAGTCTTGCCATAGTTTCATTCTTGAGGTAATTGTAGCCTGTCTTGTCATGAAAACATAAATACTCAGATTGTACAAGTAGTTATTCTGATGTCCCAAGTAGTAGATGTCGCCTTCATTTGATTTAGGTAGTGGCAAAACGTCTTCCAGATCGAAGGTCGCGGCAGCAACCGTCTTGTCATTATGCACTTTTTCTTTGATGTTATATTTGTACTGGCGTGTAGCAGAAATTTCCTCGCTGTGCTTCGCATTTTCTAACTTCATTAATTTCTTCAGTCTTGTTTTCACAAGCTGCACATATATCTTTCCTAGGCTCAGAGTGTAAAATACATTTTTGTAACTGGTTAAGGATGTTATGCGTGTTGCCCCCACCTCTTTCCGCTTCGTAACATAGAGTCGGTGTATTTGCTCATTACTCAATGTTGGCGACAGATATTTGCGAGTGCTTGATTTTCTGCAATAATGAGAATCAACCCCCGGGAATGATTCTGTATGGTTCTTAATTTTTTCTTTTTCCTCACCTAAATCTTGTGGTCGATTTGAATGGCGTCCGCTCTCGTCTGCCTCAACAAATCCCACTTCAGTCTTTTCCCCAAGAGCTGTATTAACAGCTGTTTCTGCAATGCTCAAAGTATGTAAGTAGAAACTTTTTACAGGCTGTTGTTTCTTCACCATTGGTGATTAACTTGTAATATCTTGAGGTTCCTTTTGGTCTAACAGTATCTGTACTCCTATACTTTGGCTCATGTTCTCTGACAGTTCTTGCTATGAAATTCCAACGCATCTGGGGTTTTCCAAGGTCCCAAAAAGATTTCAAAATGTCAGTTCCTCGCTCTTCTGTGATTTTTTCATTGTATCTTGATTGCAGCCAACCCCAAGAGATCTCGCTGCAACAGTCTTTACTTTCGCATAGGTAGCATTTCCCTAAACTGTACGAATCCTTTTTCTCCTTTCGTTTATTTACAGGTCTTTTGCGCCTTTCCGCCGTAGCTTGTGTGTCATGATGATTTGTGAGTGCGACAGGACGTTTGTCATCAGTGGATTCTGCCAGAGAGGATGCATTATGGGTACTATGAATGGTCGTGGTAACTTTGTTTATCATATCCTCAA